CTGTCCGGCATACTGGATGGGCTTGGCATAGTCTGAAGGCAACTCATCCCAACCTGGCAATGGTGACACTAAGTACTCTTTTCGGTCGTTTGAGTTTCCTCCTTTGAATGGGGCTGCCGCTGCTAGCAAAGCGTATATTGGTAAAAGTAGGCTGAAGTGAAGCATCTTGGTGGTTGATAGTACATTGTCTAGGGAGAAATAAAAGCCTGGGTATTGTCCGTTATTTAAGTATTTGGCAATATTGCGGTTAAACTCAGTGGAGGTGAGGTTCCAATAGCATCATGCTTTTAGTTGCTTATTGTTAACTCATTGAACAATAACGAGGAAATATGAGAACGTTTAAGTTGCGAATGTTTGTTGTTGTTGTTGTCATTGCCTAACAATCAAAATGACAAGAAAAAATACTTGAAAAAATTATATGCACACTCTCTTACATTTTGATAGGCTGTTCCTGAAATCTGACGCGCTGAAGGTCTTTTGTGTAACCCAATGGGGACAATAAGTGGAGAATTATATTTACTAACAAACGACAAAGTTCTAAAATTAGCGTGTGACTTAGGAATGCGTCATTGCGGTGGCAATGGACAAGATATTTTTATCCGTTTGTCTGGACCGGTTAGTAAAGAGAATGTTGAGATGAAAGTGTGATTAAATGAGGCCGTTTACTCATCAACAATGTTCGATTCTCTTTCCAAATATGCAGAAAGTGCAATTTTGGCATACCCCAATCTTGCAAAATGAAGCAAGTGAAGTTGTAGTGTAGCGACGGTAAATACCGTAAGTAAGTATTATTAAACTGAAGAGTATAGATGTAGGGAAATGTATGTATTTATAAGGCAAATGGAGAATCTAGACATAGTTCCATTTCTGTCGTGTCGCGTTAAAGTTACGACAATGAAAGTCTGTTTTTATTTATTTATAGAAAAAATGCTGTGATTCTTTTTCCATGACGTAAGTCTGTGATGAAAGATTGTTTTGGATACGAAAACGCCTTTTCATTGTTTGCAATTGAGGAGATGTGTCTCCAACTACAACTCTGCCTAATAACTCAGTCCCTCTATATGGGGCAGATACAGCCAACATCCAGAGCAAGGGTCAGCAAACCTGAGGCAGAACGGTAAAGAGCCTTTATCAGCAATGGGAAATGCATTCCCCAACAAATTTATTATGCCTCCCCATTGTTATTTTTCTTCTGTCAAGAATTGCAGGTAAGGAATCAATTTCACTCATCAGTTTACGAAAATCAGAAAACGGAAAATTACTATTTCACCGTGAATAAACAAAGCAGCTCATGCGGGGCCTTTGTTGGCACTATTAGCAAATTCACGAAAAAGTATTTCAGTATTTAAAGTGTCAGATATTTACACTTTGGCTCTGAGGTGGATTCAGGATTCCGTTATCCACCTCATCATGATGATTCCCCACGTTAGTTTACTTTTGCCATTATATGCTTTGCTAGCAGTTGCTTCCCCATTGAAAGGAGAATGCTCAAGCGATCCAAAAGATTATTTGGTTTCGCCATTGCCAGGTTGGGATGAGTTGCCTTCAGACTATGCCAAGCCCATCCAGTATGCCGGACAG